ATGCCTCGTGCTATATGGCATGTGGTGGGCACTCAGTAAATGGAAGTCAAGTGCTTTTGAGCAGAGGTACAAAGGATGCTGGCATCAAGCTACCACCTACTTAGGGAACCTACAGATCAGTTAGTAGCTCAGACCTTGGAAAGGTACCTTAAGAAAACTAAAGATTGGAGGCAGTCTATAAAAGAACCTTATTTACTCATAGTATCTGGGGGAAGAATTATAACACACGATGTAACTTGCAAACGTTGTCTATCACCAAGGGTTTTATCGCCTCCCTTGTTTGGCAAATTACAAGCCCGACCCGATAGCCCACCCCTCCCTCTCCCACAACCATGGTCCTATCTTATAGTTTCTGCCCCCAAAGTTCTCTCTTAAATACAGGGCCATGAATGCCCTTTCCCTGCTCCGACCACCCATGCAGCATCTTTAAAATACAAAGTGGACAAAGGATCTCTAAGCAGATATTAAGCCACTTCTAGCAGAATCGCTGTATTTATTCTCCCAGCACCTGGCAGGCATTCTCTTGTTAATTTAGAGCCACCATCTAGCCATCAGGCCCAAACTTTTCTAGGAAACTTCGCATGAAGGGCAACGTGTGCTAAGTTTAAGGTATCACCTGCCATCTCATTTAGTCCCTGCAGTGCATCTAGTGTATCTAACTAGGCAGTGTTAACAATGTTTAGAATTTTTATCGAAAACCAACAGAAAAGCTTAGCAGAGACACCAATTCGGACTGAAAAAATGCAGAGTGAAACTGAGGTAATCGTCCTTTACAAAGCCAGATTCTCCTAGAGCTAAGCCATTCCTCTGTCTTTAAGTCCTACGAAAAGCTATCAGTCTTCAGATTTCCTAGCCAACAACTCTTTAGGTGGGCCAGAACACTGCCCCCGGACCACTTACTTCTGCTCAACAGGTACATCTCCTCCATCTCTGCCCCAAGTATTCTTGGACTCTTTCTCCTGAAAGCAGTCTCCGTGCTGTGGCTTAAGCACAGTCGGGAACAAACGAAGCAATGTTGAGTCTATCACGTAACTACCTGGAGAGCAGCCGTATTAGCCCACCCTGAGAAATGCTTCTAAGGCAGGAACTTTTATCATAAGCTTCATTATAGAGCTTATCATAGTCCTTTGAGGGATTTAATTTTTTATAGACTAGTAATGTGAAGGTGGCTTTCCAAAGAAAGGTCAGTATCCAAAGTAAATTCAATTATGACTCGAAATTGTATAGATGACCACCTAAATTTGATCACTATTCCCTCTAGAGAGGGACAACTTTATTCACATTCTGTAAGAACTAGAAAATGGTCTAAATAGCTAATATCTACATTTCTATGTGGTGCTCCAGGTCTTCTGGTCTCTGGACCAAAACCCGAAGCCCTACGGCTGGGGGCTGTTCCCTTGAGCTTCTGGTTGTGCTCTACTCTAGGAGTTCTTGCTAAGTCTGATCAGTTTGACATTCCTCCTGGAACAGAAGGGGCTTGTGACTATTTTTCACCTCTCCTAGAACTGTAACAAAACTACTCAAGTGAGATTGGGTTTATGGGTATCCAATTTTATAAAAGGCAGAAGCACTTCTTTTGAGCACGGAGGCTGCTATAATTAAAATATACAGTATGGTTATACTGAAGTCCTAACATTTGGCAGTTCTACTGAACTTGGCCTTTATACATGCTTTAGGTATCTAGGGACTCCAAACAATTTGAGCAAAGAACCAAAATGAGCCAGGGCAAGTACATAGCGAAATGTCACGTGAATTGGGCAAAGGGGCGATCTGGGGAGCAATGCTGCTCCAGACCACGGGCAGCCGTCATTGCCAATGAAGGACTGACTGGTGACCCTCCTTTAAAGAGTCCCTGCTCACATGCTCATTCTTTGATCTAGATGAGGATTACGATTATTGTCATAGCTCCTCTTGGTGCTATCTGGATAAGTCAGGTTTATTTTCCCTCTGCCCTCCGGTCTCCTGTCCCTCCAGGTACTGCCAATTTCACCAACCCACTCCCCACAAGAGGAGAAGTTCCGTTGACTCTTTTGTTGGTGGCTAGCCATATCTGAATAGCTCTCACAAAACCCTGGTTCTTCTAGGCTCTGGCCTTAATGAATATATAGTACCCCAGATCCTAATCTTGACTACCTAGGCTGGAGGAAAATGTCCTGGAACTCCCAGGGATTTTTTTCCATCAGGTACGCTCCATTACTGAATTTTAATTTCTCTTGTTAGCCTGACTTAAGTTCCTCGGCAGAGTCTTAAAGCACACGTGCCCTGTCCTAGAGTATTTTAGACCAGCATCATGCGTGTGTATGGGCAGAGTGTAGAAGACCAGGGCCAGAAAGTCAGTCCGTATGCCTTGGGGCTTTGAACTTCAGACAGGAGCCAGCCTGGGTTAGCTTAGGGTCAATACCTACCTCAGCCAACCCCCAATTTCCTCCAGCTCAGAAAGGATGTGTCTCCTTTCCTTCGAAGAATTTAAGTCTTACGTGGGCTTCTGTTTTCCGCTGTTCATGGCCTGTCACATATTTCACATGTGACCTAGGGGAGCAAAAGGGAGGCTCACCTACCTGATACAAGGTGAACATATGGCTTCGACTAACTATTTCGACAATTTAGGTGCATTCATAGCGTTCTATAGGATAAAGTTAACCTCCAGTGGAAAGTTATTTTACATTAAATTAAAAGAATATGAAAAGAACGCAGCAAAAACGAATCTTCTCTCCCACCTTTCTGGACAGTCATCAGTGGTTTCTGGTATATCGGAGTCTTTTGAAATGATATGAAAGGTGTAATGTAAGCCATGGCACTACTCTGAGCAATCGTTTAATAAGTTAGTATTGCTCAACCATTAATGATTAATGTTAGAGTCTGAAAACTTTTCAGGGCTTTTCCAATCTCTTAGTTTGGTTACACATCAGGGGTCATCTTCACTAGACACTCGCCGTTTTTCAAGGAGTCCAGGCAGGGGAAAGCATTTGCGAGAACAGTCCATTGGAGCCTGTCAGTTTTTCACGTTCCCTTAAAGATAACATTTCTCAGGCTGCTAAATTACGAGCCCGCGGAGCCACGTGACCAACCTAAACGTGATCGGGCGGCCAGCCAATCGCAGAGCGCAGAAAAGCCCGTCGCAGCTTCTCACGCTCGGGACAGTCAGAACCTAAGGGCAGGGGGCATTCGGAGACTCAACCCCCACAAGTATTGCTTGAGGGGCTGCTTGACCATACATTAAAGTTCGCTCTCACTTCAGGAGACTCGTGACTGCGGGCAGGCGGGTCTCCCAAGCCACCGGGCGACAGGAGCTAGGGACTCTGGAGTGGGTACTTAGGACGGGGGCAGTTTTCCGTCCCATTTCCCCCGAGGTGGCGAGCCAGCCCCTTGGTGTCATGTCGAGATCACTTCAGGGACCTGCCAGGATTCTCACCGAATCCTCTTAGAAGGGCTTCTTGTCGCCTGCCTGAGAAAGTTGTGCGGCCCCAAATGAGAGAGTGGCTGAGGACAGGGCTCCCAGGCCCAGTGCGGCACACCCTGGGGACCCGACAGTTGTCCCCACCGCCCTCCCCAACAAGCCACAGTCACACACCAGCTCTCCCAGCTCTCGTGCTACTCCATTTGATCTACTGGTCAGAATGAAGGCTAATTACAGTCACCAGATAAGGACCCAATTCCTCTCGAGGAAATCTCACCGGGAACGAGGCTCAGCAAACTAACCTGATTAAGTCTTCGTTCCACTCCCCTCCCCCGTTCAGCTATCCTGGAGACCCGAGAGGTTTACAAACGCTGCCCGGCGAGCGGAGAAACATCTAGAGGTGAGTCCTATTTGATTCAAGTCTCACTCTTCCTCTAACCCGCACTACACAGAGACTGCCCGGCGCCCGGGGAGTCGCAGTCCGGGTGCGCAGGCTGCGCACTTCTAGCCGCTCGGTGGAGACTCCCGGCGGCAGCCCACCGAACGTGCGGGTTCCTCACCGCCGCGGGGAACCCCACTCCCGGTCGGCACCCGGCGCCCCGCATCGCCAGAGGCGCCCTTCCTCACCCACCGCCCGCTCCCACCCTCCGTGAAGTCCGAGGGGCGCTCCGGGGGCTGCCGCGCACGTCCCGGCCCACCCGGCCCCCTGCCTCCTTCCTAACACTCCGCCTGGCAGAAGAGACACAACCATTGTTCAACGGCTCAGAAGCCCATATTCCCCATCCCCGGCCAAGCGGAGTGAGAAACGAGGCAAAGCACAGGTTTTAGGGGAGGCAGTGTAAGGGAATGAAGACTAGTTCGGGCAAGGCTTTAGGACACCCCAAATCCCACTATCCCCCCAGCCTGGCTCCCGGGAGCCGCGGTGCTGACAGCTCAGAGGCGCCACCAGGGTGGGGAGGGAGAGAAGGCGACGAGAGTGAAGAGACGCCTCCTAGGAGGGGGGTGGGCAAAAGGAGACCCGCGCCTCGGGGCCCCCTGGCGCCCCGGCTAGGTCCGGGCAGGCCGCGGAGGGGCGCGTCCTCACTCACCCGCTCCGGTGGTGCCGCTCTCCCGGGGCGCCCAGCACAGCGCGAGCAGCAGCCAGAGCGCCCAGCGCGCGGACGTGCCCATGGTGCCCGTCTGGATGGTGCCGCCGCCGCCGCCGCCGCCGCTCGCTCCGCACAACAAGTTACCAGCCCTTCGGAAAGGAGGAAGGAGGTGGGGGCGGGGAGGGAGGAGGGGGAAGGGGAGGAGGGGGAGGAGTTCGAAGGGGGGTAAAGGGAGCAGGGAAGAAGAGGCGCACCCCCTCCCCTACAACTTGCACAATCTACCCCCCACCAGCCAACCCACCCACCCACCTACCTCCCCGGGCTGCAGCGGTAGTGCAAGCCGAGCCCGCGGGCAGAAAATAATGCAGGCGCTGCAGAGGAGGGGAGGGAAGAGGAGGGGAGAAAGGGAGAGGGGGGTGGGGAGCCAAGAGCGGAGAAGACAGAAGAGAGAGGAGCCGGCCGCGGAGCACCCACCCTGGCGGCCGCTGGAGCGCGGGGTGAGGAGCGAGGAGGGGGCAGGAGGGGGAGTGGTCAGCGGGGGATGGGGGCGGGCGCGGCGGCTTCAGCCCTCCCTCCCCACCCTCGACGCGCTCCTCTTATAAGCTCGGGGCAGCCAGGTTCCTGCGTCGGGGTTGTGTGAGTGTGCGTTCGAGTGTGAGCGTGAGTGGCCGTGGCCGCCGCTGCCACCCGGAGTGCTCCCGGGGCTCGGCTGCTCCGCGCGTCCGCCCGGGGCTCACGGGGGCCCGGGGCGGCTGCTGGTTGGCTCGCGCGCCGCCCTCGCCTCCAATCCCCGGTGCCTGCCCTAATTTCCTGATCCAGGGAACCTGCCGCCGCAGCAGCTGTGCGCTCCCTACAGTCATTACTGTACCTTCCCGGCAGCCGCCAACCGTAAATGCAGCAGCAGCAGCAGCAGTGGCAGCAGCAGCAGTTAGCACTGATGCAACTACTGAGGCTATTGCCACCGCCTTCCCAGTAACGCGGCTTACAGCCCGGAGGGGGGGACTTGCAGTTTCCAGGGGCAACAAGCGTCTCTCTACCACCTTCTCCTGCGCCTCAAAGAGGGCTGGTCCTGTGAGGCTGGTAGGTAGCTTCTTTCTTGGGCCGCCTCTCTCCACTTAAAAGTGATGAAGAGGAGTGGATCTAAACGTTTGGGCTACTTTGGTGTGGGGTTGGGGATGCCTGTCTCAGTCAAACGCTAAGATGCCATTTTTGCTAAAAATTAAATGTGTCTTTAAGTGAGAGCGTGTGTGTAAGGAGAGTGCGCGCGGTTGTGGTTGGTCCTCTGTAACAGAATGGGACGAAAGTAACCCAGTCTGGGCTGAGGAGGAGGGGGATATCGCTAGCGCAGCTCTGCATTCTCTCATCAGCGATTATAGTTAATGGCTAATTGCACAAATGATAGTCAGAGGGCCTGTAATTAGAAGCTTAACCTTTCCTTGCTTGGGGGAGGGGAAACCCGGTTTATTCTTCTTGATATAGTTTGCAACATTCAATTACAAGGCTCAAGGAAAGAAAGAAGGAAGCAAAGGCAAGACTCCTGTAAAGGATTGATTCCTGTTTTGTGTCTGGCAATACTGAGCCTGTAATTTGCTTTTGTGTACTTAAGTTTTCTTGCACAATTTCCCCTGGTTGTCCCCATTTAACCAGACGGGGAGGACACACCGGGCTATTTCACCTTCTTAAATAAAGGGTTTGTATATTTTTAAAAAGTAGTTTCGATCTCGAACGACTCAAACTCCACCGATTTCAATAGGACCAGCTCTGACGCTATTCTGTCGATGATGTGAGAAGTAGAGGGCTCCTGGCTAGCTATATTCCTCTTGTCTTGGTGCTCCAGGGCATTTGTCAAGGCTAACCATTAGATGGGATGTTTATTAGGAACTTACTGGATCCAGGAGATGGAGAGGAGAGGAAAATTCCAGGTCAGGATACACTTTGGGGTGGGGTCAGAGGATACCCAGATTGTGAATGGTCTCCACGAAGGGGCTTAACTCTGTCAATATGTATTGGTGGAGACTTGCACTACAGTTCATTTTGAACTCTGGTTTGCTCGCTCTGTGGTTACACGTTTGATACAAACTGCAGCAGACGCACATGTGTCACGTGTGAAACTGAGTTGAGCTCTGCTTTATGCCATTAGTAGTGAAGATGCATGCAGGTGTTGCTCACCTAGCAGGCATTAAGGGATGGTGGTAAAACAGGTGTGTGGCATTTTCAATATTCTCGGGGTTCTGAAAGAGCACGTTAATATAGTCATGTGGTTTGTTTCTAATATTTTACTCAGAGATAAATATGTGTACTATAAGCTGAACACTGATATGGTATAATAAGATTTACCTTTGACATACACGTTATGCTTTCTATCTCTCCAAAGGATATAAATAACCTGTTGGTGCACTTAGCTGCGGCTCTGTGTTCAACCCTGTAGCTCTCTTGTTGGATCAAAAGGAAGCATAACTTTTGGCTCTACCTCTCATTGGCTGTGAAACTTGGGAAAATCTCAGTGCCTGTCTGTGCCTGCCTTCTGACCTACAAACTGGACACAAAGCCAGTTCACATAAAGTCACAGTGCTCTGTGGCCTCAAGGACCAGCTCTCTGCAAAGTGTTGATTATTAGAAGGAAAGGTTGTAAGGAAGAGTGAATTTGATTAATATAGAAAGTAACCAAATAACCAAAATGATAAATTTATCATGAGTGGAGATGGGTGTGGTTGAACTAGGCTCAGAGAGGCTGACACTGCTGCATACAGAGCCTTCAGGTAAATGCATAGGCAACCCCACTCCCACAATCTACCACATTCGTTAAGTTGTTGAAGCAACACACTGAGCATCCCTGGGTAGCAGGTGCTGTGCTGGGCAGTAGGTATACGGAGATGTTTGTCTAAGGAAGCTCAGGATCTGGTGGGGGAGGCAGAGAAGTTGGCGATTGTGGTACCCTATGCACAGCACACGCTTAGGCTTCAAGGTGCTATAAGCTTATAGGCAAAGAGTAGCTAATCTGACTGGGGGACCAGAGGGTCAGAAAAGGCTTTCCAGAGCACTTGTCTCTGAGCTGAAGTCACGACTTTTACCAAGCCATTCCAATTCTCTGTACTGCGGGACACATGGTAGGATTGCACTTCCTGGCTCCATTATAGTTAGGTGGGGATGAAAGACCAATTTTGGCCAATTATTTGTGAGCAGAAGTTCTAGGGTGTCACTTCTGGCCTGGGGCATTTAGTGGGACTTGCATGAGACCCTCTCTTTTGGTCTGCATGGTGACTAGAGATGCCCAAGAGATGGCTGCTCCATTAGCCTGGTCTGAATGACTAGACTGAGTAGTTCTCTGCTGTCTCCATGTCTCTGGCAATGATCATGTAGCGTAGAGGTCAGCAGATGGCCAGTGACCTGTTTCTATATGACCTATGAAAGAGAGTGGTTTTTACATTTTTTAAAGAGTTATACAAAAAAGTGAAGAAGAAGAAAAGGCAACAGAAATTGTACGTTGCTCACCAAGTGTGTAATATTTACCGTCTGGGTCTTTAGAGAAAAAACCACCTCCTGACATTGAGTGAAAAATAAACCTTTGCTATCTTTATCTACTGAGCTTCTGTTACCGCAGCATGACCTCTCGTTCGTTAACTTGACTGATACTCTGGGTGAAGGGGGAAGGAAGACCTTGGTGAACAGAGGGAACAAAGGCAAAGAGAACATCAAGTGTTGAGGAAATGCAGGGGCTTCAGGATGGTTCCATAATGGGGTTGCAGTGGGCTGACAGCAGGAGGTAAGGCTAAGGAAGAAAGTCAGGGCCTGGATTATATGGAAATGTGTGTGAAATGCCAACACTTTTTTTTTTTTGCATTTAAAAAAATTTTTTTTAAATTAAAGTATAGTTGATTTACAATGTTGTGTTAGTTTCAGGTGTATAGCAAAGTGATTCAGTTATACATAAACATATATGTGAGAATATGTATATATTCTTTGTCAGATTCTTTTCCATTATAGGTTATTACAAGATATTGAATATAGTTCCCTGTGCTGTATAGTAGGTCCTTGTCGTTCATTTATTTTATATATAGCATTGCATATCTGTTAATCCCAGACTCCTAATTTATCTCCCCCCCCTTTCATGCCAACACTTCGGACTTGATGCTGTTGGCCATGGTGAGGACTTGTGATGGATTTCTACCGTGATAGATTGTGATCAGAGGCCTGACATTCCGTGTGTTTTAGAAAGTTCACTCTGACGTGAAGTGGTCTGTAGGGTGACTTCTTTGGGAAGCAGTGTAGGATGAGACTAGAGGAAGAACAGTTAGAGGCCCTGGTAGTGACGGAAGGCACCAGGAAAGGACAGGAAGAAGCTATTATTTGCAGTCAGAAATATTCATGTAATTCTTTCATGAGATTTTTCTCCCCAGTCCTCTGCATATAGCTTCAATTAATTAATTAATTTAGTTATTTGTTTTGCGGTACGCGGGCCTCTCACTGTTGTGGCCTCTGCCGTTGCGGAGCACAGGCTCCGGACGCGCAGGCTCAGCGGCCATGGCTCACGGGCCCAGCCGCTCCACGGCATGCGGGATCTGCCCGGACCGGGGCACGAACCTGTGTCCCCTGCATCGTCAGGCGGACTGTCTACCACTACGCCACCAGGGAAGCCCTGCATCAGCTTTTAGAACAGTGTTTTCCAACCATGGTCAATCCGTAAGAATCCCTGGGGATTTCCCTGGTGGCGCCGTGGTTAAGAATTTGCCTGCCAATGTGGGGGACACGGGCTCGAGCCCTGGTCCAGGAAGATCCCAGATGCCGCGGAGCCTGCGCGTCCGGAGCCTGTGCCCCGCAACGGGAGAGGCCTAGTCCAGCCCGAGAGGCTGGACTTGTAACCTTACTCCAGGCGACTCTTAGGATTAGCCATGATTAAGAAACCTTCCTAGAGAATGTCTTCTTCAATGCAGTCTTAACTGCTAAGTAGCTTTACTTCTCTCAAACCTGTATGTATATATTTGTCCAATTTCCCCAGGGAAAGTGGGTTAGGGCCCACAGAGAACGGGAGGGTTAATGTTGGACATTTCTTTTTCTTCAAGCCCTGGAAACTAATAAATATGGGCAGCAGAAGTCATCTTCAAACCATGTTGCTAGGCTGAAGCACTCATTACTGTGTTTTCTACTTCATAGCCTTACCATAGGAAGTAAGAAGTGAAATGAACTGTCCCCTTCTGGAGCCTTCTCCTTCTACAGTATTTTGACGGTACTTTCTCAGGCCTCCACTCCACCATTTTCTAATTGTGTGGCAGCCAGTGAAATAAACGGGATTCACCCCACTCTAGGCTTTACACGTAGGATCTGATGGTTTAAACCAGTGGCTCACAAACTTTAGCTTTCGTGAGAGTCACCTGCAGGACTCGTTAAACATGGATTGCTAGGCACCATCCCAGAGTTTCTGGTTCAGCTGGTCTGGGGTGGAGCCAGAGTATTTGCATTTCTAACAAGTTTCCAGGAGATGCTGATGTCACTGGTCAGGGAACACATTTTGAGAACCATCGCTCTAAATCCATCAGCATAACTTCCCCCCTCAGCCACTGTGATCAATTCAAGGGTCTCAACCAGTCAGCCTGTGGTCTTCTGGCCACACTGATTGGATACTTCAGTCCTAAGCACATTATTCAAGTCGATCCAGTTATAATGAAGTTCAGGATTTTTGCTTGGTTAGAAAGGCACCCTTTTTTTCTTTTTCTTTTTTTTCCTTTTCACTGACTTCTTATTTTTAATTTTTTTTTCCAGTGTTGTTATTTTTATTTTTAATTAATTAAAAATTTTATTTTATATTGGATCATAGTTGATTAGCAATGTTGTGTTAGTTTCAAGTGTACAGCAAAGTGATTCAGTTATTCATATCTATGTATCCTTTTTCAAAGTTGTTTCCCATTTAGGTTATTACAGAATATTGAGCAGAATTCCCTCTGCTATACAGTAGGTCCTTGTTGGTTAGGTGTTTTAAATATAGTAGTGTGTACATGTCAGTCCCAAACTCCTAATCTATCCCTCCCCCTCCCCTTCCCCCTGGTAACCATAAGTTCAATCTCTAAATTTGTGAGTCTGTTTCT